ACCGCATGTGCATGCATTACAGGGTCCGTCCTGGGTTCCAATGCGCACTTGCTGGGTTCGATGGCTGAGATAGTTGGCAAACCAACTTAATGCCGTTCCAGAAACGCCAATGTCGAACAGGTCCTGCAGCAGCGTAGGGTGACTGACTTTGTCAAACGCCTTTGACATGTCAAGTAGGCAGATGCAGCAAGGCAATGCAGAGTCCTTTGCAGTGAGAACACCATCCGTTAGTAGCACAAGTGCATCTTCAGTGGAGTGATCCTTCCTGAAGGCAAATTGGGTCGGTGGTAGAACATGGTGTTCATCGAGGAATGCCACAAGCTGCCGCTGCACGAGCTTCTCTAGCAGCTTTGAGGCAATCGGCAGCAGGGATACTGGACGATAGTTCCCGGGGGATGTTGGGTCTCCAGACTTGTACAGAGGCCGGACCAGGGCCTTCTTGAAGGCAGAAGGTACAATGCCCGTTTCAAGAGACTCATTGAAGATCCGTGTGAGGGATGGCGTGAGGATATCACTGCAGGATTTGAGAAGCAGCCCAGGTATTCCATCACTGCCAGTTGCCTTCACCGGAATTATCGCTTGCAGAAGCTTATTCACAGCAGCATAAGATGCTGTTCCCAGACAGCTGAGTGAGTGTTCAGCTGGGGGTCCATTCGGTAATGGCAAGTGGGCTGGCCGATCAGGGTCAGTTACAATGTTGCTAAATGCCACGCTGACCTTGTTCACATCACATGCAGGGTCTTGCTTGCTTCCTCCTCTGCCAGTGATGGAGTTTAACAGGGACCACATCTTCCTTGGATTGCGATTGTTGACAACACATTCATCACTGAAGTACTGGTTTTTCCTCCGTCTGACAAGGTTTGCTGCCGCCGTTCGAGCACGTTTGTACTGGTGGAATAATGCTATGTTAGCCCGGTCTCGCAGCCATCTTCGGTGCAGCCTGTTCTTTGCCATCGTTAGCTGGTAAGTGTCTCTGTTAAGCCATGGCCTTCTTCTGGAACGCTTCTTAACTGGGGTCATCGGGGCATGATGGTCCAGTACACGCATTATGCTAGCGTGCCAAGTGGACCACATATCGTCGACGCTCGCATGTGGAGGAAAAATGTGAAGGTCTGCTGCAAGCAGGTCAGCGCGGAGAGCTGCTATATCCACTCTGTGCAGCTGCCTAGTGAGGAGCGAACTCGCTGGCTGGCTTACTTCAGTAGCACAGCTGAGTGAAGCACTCACAGCAAAGTGATCGCTGATGTCACATGGTACGATGTTCCAGGATATGTTAAGCTGGCATGGTTGACCAAGACTAGATCTAGTATGGTTCCACGCACACATTGGGGCAGAACACGAGTTGGTGCTGTCACAACGTTCTGCAGTCCATAGCTTCCACACGTGTCATGCATGTGGCGCAATTGTGGGCCAGGAGAAACTGGGTCAGCATTTACATTGAAGTCGCCCATCATAGTGACCGATCCGGTGTTGTTGGTGGCTGCCTGTAAGACAGTCTCTAGTCTGGGCCAGAACGCAACTGTTTCACTTGGCGGCCGGTACACACACCCTAAGAGATGAGGCGCCCGGGCACCTTTAAGCTCGATCCAGGTGCACTCTACATCATCCGCCGTCAAATCCGGGCGAGGCTTCACGGGGAGGGTCGACCTGAAGTAGATACATGTTCCACCTCCTCTTCCACCGGCACGGTCCTGACGGGCAATACTGAAGTTTGGGATCCGGATTTCTCCATCAGACACTGTGCCATCAAGCCATGTTTCAGCAACACCGACTATGTCCCAGCACTGGTCCGCGATCAGCTGCTCCAGGGCGTCGACTTTGTGCCGAAGGCTACAAATGTTGATAAAGCCAAAGCGTACCCAGGAATTTGCTGGGGCGCCTTGATGGGACCGTGGTGTAAATGGTATGGCATTAGGGTTGAGATGTCTAGTGAAAAGACCCGGAATAGATGGGGCGGCATTAGGATTAGGTTCGAGTCCTGTTGGAGAATTAGGGTCACCCAGTGCTGCCATCATTCTTTATCACTGGTCGGATCTGTGGTGGAATGTTTACCATTGCTGCTGCTAAGATTGTCTTGTGATGCTGCATTCTGATGTTGGTCACGGTCTTTAAACTGCCATGGTCTAGCGTACAGAGGTCTTGGCCAGAAGTTTGGGGATACAACAAGCAAGAGGGCACTTGCTTCAACCATTAGTCGTGCTGACACCTTTCCATTTTCTGCTCTGTGCATGCTGCAGTCATGCACAGTGGTCTCTGCTCCAGCCTTGGCTGACCTTTGTTTCACGAAAGCTGCTAGACTCTCCTCAGTGCAGGACTCGCTCAGATTCCCAACGTACAACATGGCTTTCTTTGGCCTGGGTGGCTCCGCTGACACCAACTGCCAACTGTCATCTGCAATGACATCCAGGATGGCTTTACTTCTTCCGTCATTGCGCTTGGCCTGCTGGAGCTTGGAGCCTTTACCTGCTGCAGGGTGTGTAGCTTCCTGATCACTGCTTTCAGTGTCGTCAGTGTCACTGACGCTGTCACAGACGCTACGGTGTGCAGTTGTAGTACTCATACAGTTACTGGGGTCATTGGTGCCCGTAGCTGCACGGCCAGCTTTCCTGGCTGAGCGTCTACGGGATGTCTTGCTCGTACGCTGGCACTGGGCCTGGGGAGAGACACTCGCCGAAACAATGGCGGCTTCTTTGAGCGAAACAACATCCTCACTGAGTGCATTCACTTGCTTCGTCAACAGGTCGATCTTGTTCAGCAGGCGTGTCTCCCGGTCGGCCGACTGTGACACGAGGGAGGACAGTGTTGTGACTAGTTCTACGACAGAAGTCTCAATTCCTGGGAGGGAACTCAACAGTTTGATCTCCGACTCGGTCATCCCGCGAATGGCGGTTTTTCCAGATCGGGACATCTCGGCCCACTAAATGCTACTGCTAGGCTGCTACCTAATGAACTATCTATTACTAATTAACTATCCAGTACCTACCCTTCTCCAGACCGGCCTACTGCCGGCTGGCTACTGCAAAACCTGCGAAAACTGCGGAGCTCAAAAAAGCTAACTGCATTCGCACAGTAGATCTAACAGAGACCACACTTTGAAGGGCCCTTGAGCGGTCGTCTTAGACAGGTTTGACTGCTCTACAGGGTAGACCTACAGTACAGCTCCCCTACAGCTCCCCTACACGGCTACAGCTCCCCTTATCCAAACAGTACATGCATGCTGTAGCCAGTGTAGGCTGTAGACAAACATTATTTTTTGGTAGATCTACCATAGGCATAGACTCCAAATCATACAATCATGTATGTCAGTATGATGTAGATCTACTCATAGTCATACGAGTCATAGTCTAGCATACCAGGTAGATGATCTAAGATCTACAGTATACGGTACCAGGTACAGTTGTACAGTCCATTTCAAAACTATAGACGCGTACCTAGGCAAAAACCGTTATGCCAGCATCTATACCACATAAAATCTGTGATCACTTTGTGCATAAATTTTTCCAAATTGGGCGTCTGTTATCCAATCCTTTAGAAACTATATGAGAGTAATTGTGGAGCGATCCTGAGCAATATTCCGAAAACTATTCTCAAAAGTTTCCAGCCAAATTTGAAATATTTCAAAAACCCTACGCGTCTATAGTTTTGAAATGCACTGTAGACACTACACAGTCACCTGGTCACAGGCATTAGCCGCATAGGCTTCAGTCTTCACCATGTTCACACCATGTACCATCACTCAGCGGACCGGACCGCGTACCGCGCCGCGAGGCTCGATCAACGACGTGCACGTGCAGAGAATCCGCTGCACGTCAACAGCTACCATGGCTACAGCCTACACTTGTACAGGTCAAGGGGCCGGCGCGGCTGCACGCTGCATGCAGCGCAGCATCAATTAGTCGAAGGGTCCACGTGCTAGCATGCTCACGCCACAAAGAAACAATCGTTCACGTGAAAGACGAAACACTTCGGAAGCTCGCAAAATGAGAAAGGGCCAACATCATTTTTTGCTATACCGTTCAGCTACAATGTTAGTTAGGAATGGTGAAGACGGTAAAATGTAGTTTCAATGATCTTGGCCACAAAGCAAATCATTCCTAGCGCGTAGCTAGACGGGTGATGAAGTAGCTGTGTTGCCAAGAGGCGCGCGTGCGGGTCAAAAATCTCAGAAGCTCACTGATCAATCACAGTAAATTGAAATTATTATTTGCAATACTAGTAACTACCAAACGGTTCGGACGATAATACTTATGCTGTGAGTTCGAAGATATCCTGTGACTTTCAATCATCATGGAGCGAATCACTAGGCCCAGAATGCTGGCCATAGTTTTGATATTTGGAACGTGTACGCTGCTAATCTACATGACCGGGTCGCAATTCTCGTCGGGCCGCAATGAGAACATGCCAGGATCGGTAGCACGCATCGCCCAGCGGCGGCTGATGGAAGTGGAGGATTATGATAGGAAAGAGCGAGGTATAATCCGCACGAAGCGTGGCGAGAATCTGGACCGATCTAAGCCGGTGAAGTGCAACGGGACGTTCTGGTATCGCTTCGGTAAGCCGTGGCGAGCGTTCACCGTGGAATCCCTGTCCTTTGCCTTCAAAACGGACAGGCCTGATCGCAAGTCTGTGCTTGTGTATGGGCAGAGCCTCGATGGCGTCTTCATGCCAGGCGCTGTGTGCTACTTTGGCATGGTGATGCAGAATAACGGCTCGCTGCTGATCGTGTGGCGGGTACAGGGAGCCGAGGAGTCGGCCAGGATCCAACTGGCGGGGCGGTTCGATGACGGAGCATGGCACGTTGTTTCCGTCATGGCACAGGAGAACTCTCTGCAGATCGCCGTGGATCATCGTCAACAAACCAGTGCGGGAGAAAGTAAGACGTTGACATTTAACACTAGCGATCATGCCGTGCCTGGTGCTCATCGTGTCCGGGTCGACTCGGGCGTGTACTTTGGCGGAGTGCTGGACACCAAGTCCCTGCTGGCGTACGACGTGCTGGGCGACACCACGCAGTTCAACGGCTATCTGTCGCGTAACGTGCACCTGAACGGACTGGCGCTGGACTTGGAGCGCATGCGACGCGGCTTCACGGAGGACCGGGCCGGCCCACACCTGCTCGACCAGCTGAAGTATGATCCGTCGGGGCCACTCCAGGCGCTCGTGCCTCCTCGCGTGATCCTGGACGACTTGCCGGCTGGCAGACGGTTCCCGATTGTGAGCGCCGTTAGCCAGAATCACGCCGAGGAGCTGGTTGACATGGTGGGATCGGCGCGTAAGCACATGCAGCAGAGAGGGGTGGTGGTCTATGACATAGGCCTGGAGGGCGACTGGCGGCGGCGCATCGAACGCCTCTGCAACACAACCGTGCGCTGGTTCCGCACGGACCTCTACGGCGGCCAGATGTACCAGCTCAAATACTATATGTGGAAGCCGATCGTGGTGCAGGCAGTGATCCAGGAGTTCGGCGGAGCGCTGTGGGCCGACTCGTCCATACGTTTCCAGCGGCCCATCAGCGAGATGAGAGAGCTGAGATCTGGGTTTGGCGTGGTGGGCTTCGAGCCGCTGAACGCCGGACCGACGGGGGCGTTCACGCACGACGGCACGCTGCACTTCCTGGGAGTCGAGCGGCGGGAAGTCGGCAGGCAGCCGATCGCTGTCGGCACCAGCCAGGTGTGGTTGGACGTGCCGTACGTGAGGAACGTGGTGATGCGTATGTGGTTCCGCTGCTCTCTGGATCTGAAGTGTATGGCGCCGGACGGTGCCAGGCTGTGGCCGTGCGACTTTGGACAGCAGTACTCGGGCGACTACATCGGCTGTCACCGCTACGACCAGAGTGCACTGGGTGTCGTGCTCTACAAGAGCTTCAAGGGGACGGGCATCAACGCCAGCGAGTACATACGCCGCGATCCGCGTGACCTGGAGTTCGTCGACATTGTGCGGCACGTGACGCACGACTTTCCCGTCTGCGAGAAGAGCGAGAACGTCGGCGAGCCGTGCGCGTGTCCCAACGATGACACAACAGCGCGCAAGCCCAAGTCTGTGCCTGCTGCTGCAATCGGCGAGGACAGAAGTTCCACTTTGGACAAGCACCCGGTAAAACATGCACTCGAGATAAGTCCAGATTCCAAAGACACGTCGGAGGCGCCGGCTATAGCACATGGCAAGGCTGCTGCGGACGACAACGAGAACTGGCAGCCACGCGAATGGAACCTGAGGTGAGACTAGGTTGGCACGGGCCACCAAAGTATAACTTGCAGCAAGACTAGGCTGATGTCTGACACTGTACATGTTGACACTGTCCAGCCCCCGGCGGTCATGACTTTGCCATACTGGCGGCTTTTCCTCTAGCGCCACAGCTTGATCGGTACAGCTAGGTATACCAATTTTTTTCTTCTTTTTTTTCTTACTTTTTCGTTCCTTTGTTAGAAAGGGTCATTGAAGTGACATGATAAAAAATTAATATGTTGAGCTGAATATCAGGAAAAGAAAAGCTACACATCTCAAGCTAACTTATTCTTCACCACCATCTTCAATAAGGACTCCGAATTTCTTGGCCCAGTGAGCTGAATTTAATTATTTGTTTTGAAGATTTGAAGTTTGAGTAAGATTATTATGAACCGCAGTGCCACTCGGGATTGGGCTATTCTGCTCAGCTGTCCATGCCATTCCCTGTTTTGTGGGAAACACAAAGTGTGTGTGAATTCACTTTGCACTGTGCTTTAGTGGAGTGGTGAGTCGCCGTGACTCTCGCGGAAGCACTATCTAAGGTGGCTCACACAAAACCAGCGCTAGCCCCCCCCCCCCCCCCCGGGTCGACCAGTCGCGGCATGGACTTCGATCGCGGCATCTGGTCCGTGTGAACTTTCACGATCGAGAGCTGTTTTTTACGGTTTCAAATTTTAGCAGAATGCTCTGTGTTATGTCCACACGGTCGTGCTGACATGTTTCGAAGGACATCTTAGATCATTAATAATAATTACTTGTATTATTTTCAATATCCAATACAGTCTGATGTCAGGAAGTATTACTGTAAGACATGTATATATAACGAGGAAGCAAATCTAACGTTTTAACGGATGACATTTCTTCGTTATAATAAGATCCGTTGAGGCCGTACTGCTTCATATATGCTGTGTGTGGATATGGCAGAATACTGCAAGATCGTTAACATATCTTCTCGTTAACCTATGAATTTTGGACAATCGTTAAATTTGCTACTCGTTATAATAACATGTCTTACAGTACGCATTAGTTTCTGAGAATGTTTTATAACGTTTAGTCGCACGTCCTCTTCATAAAGGCTTTCGTGCCAGAATATCCATACCCTCCTCTTTTCTATTTATTTCATCTTCACGGTTGTTCTGATTCCTCTTTATGTAGTAGTCAGTACTGTTTAGCTATTGAAGTACAGTCAACTCCACTTATACAGTCAACTCCACTTATACAGTCAACTCCACTTATACAGTCAACTCCACTTATACAGTCAACTCCACTTATACAGTCAACTCCACTTATACAGTCAACTCCACTTATACAGTCAACTCCACTTATACAGTCAACTCCACTTATACAGTCAACTCCACTTATACAGTCAACTCCACTTATACAGTCAACTCCACTTATACAGTCAACTCCACTTATACAGTCAACTCCACTTATACAGTCAACTCCACTTATACAGTCGACTCCACTTATACAGTCAACTCCACTTATACAGTCAACTCCACTTATAACAAACTCGTCTGCAGCCAATTTCGTGATGATTATACCGAACTACAGTTCATGTCCCTGTTTCAACTTATACAAATTGCCCAGACTTTGTAACGGACTGGTTTCGTTTATAATGAACCCTTTCTGGTATGTTGTAGGGCCGCATGATAACCAAGAGCACTCATAGAGCTGTGGGCCGCATGCCAGTGATGGCTATCGTCATGTTGTTTGCATGGCATGCCGGCGTGGGTGCATCTCTGTTAAACTTAAAACCAACTCCGCGGCTATAACTTTTAAAGGAACTAATTCTCCTGTGGAGAAAAGGCCTCTTTTACGGGCAAACAGAATACAATTGACAGTGGCATGGCGAATGATTAGAACACAACACCAAAAAATGAAAACAATTGTATGTGTGAAAAAACGCAAAAACGAGAAACACCAAAACAAAAACAAACAAAAAACAAACAAAAACTAAAACCAGGAAAATACAAGGGCACTGTCCTGCCCACCATCGTCTCCAAAACCTCACAGCCGGCCCTCCGAGATTGCCAACTCTCGCAATGCATTCACAGGACGGTGATATGACGATCGAGCACCGCGGATGCACATGATCGCCGACCGCAACAATGCAAACGCCAGTCGACACCGGACATATGTCATTGTCTGGGCATACAACTTCGGAACTAATTCTCCTGCTCCGCAATGGTGTTCGTCATAAGACTCCTGATCTTGTCACGAGTCGGCTGTAAAGTGAAACGTACCCGATAGCACACAGTCAGCGGAGATTCTCTTGCACGGTATACACTGCACACAGACTCAGACTCTTGTTGACGTAAAAAATACAAAATAAATTAACTCGGATACTGCACTGAGCATGAGCTGAGCTCGAGCTCAGCTCATGACATGAGCTAGTAATAAAATGTAAAAATAATTAATAGAAGAAAACACAAGGGAAAAAACCAGGGAGTAGTAAAATAATGTTGGTTTGCGTTGCGCAAACCGTAGTTAACCAGCACGCCACGGGCCGCGCCCCCGCAGGGGAATATTCCCGCAAGATGACTTTAGGTGACCATACGCACTCCGCCGTGCCGCCGCAGCCGACTTGCGCAAGCACGCACTCTTGCAGAGTTCCGCATTCGGGTCGCACTCGCGTACGACATCCCGTATGAGCCACCCTTCAGCTTCGCCTGGCGGATGCATCCGTAGACGGCTCATCTACTGCTGGCCGGTGTAATTTTGCCAGTTGTCTGTTTTGCTGCGAGTGCTCGCCACGCAATTTTGTTTCCCACCCGCCCACGCCTACCGGACGGAGGGGAGGCACGGGCTCGGCCGATGGGCACGAAATCCGCATGGTGCACATCCATCGGCTGCCGCAGACAATACAATTAATATACTTGTGGGTACTACCGAGTACTTAGTGGTCATGCAGTTGCCATAGCAATGTACTGGTACACCCAGCCTTTATGATTGTTACATGACCCCATGGGTCGTCTTTCAAACGCTCTTTCATAGCCGATAGATGGCGTTATTTGTTCCTATCATACTATGTTACAGATGGGCGGCCTTAGACGGCCCAGTCCGATCATTTCACGCGAACTATGTTATACGTCATCATGATCACAATAATCATGTCGTGCTCACGTTCAATATAAGCTTGCGACACCCCACTGGCTCATCTCTTCTGTGGTGTGAGGGTTAACTGTATTTTACTCCCTGGAAAAAAACTCTTCTCAATCCAAGCACGCACAACTAACTAACTTGTGACACCAATCAATGAAAAAATTATAATAGTGTTTAGCCTTACATTTCAATTTCTCTGTTCTTGGACTTTTCTGGCCTCAAATGTGGCAAAGAGTAATTGCACGGGTCACACAATGCAGGATGTACTGTTGTTTTCACGATATCTACAACTACATGTATGTGAGAGAGACACCAAAAAGTTAGGGTGCCAGTTTCCAATGAATGGACTGTATACATGTATACAGACTTCAGGAAGAAGTACGAAGCCCTCCCTCGTTGTATCGTTACTGTTAGTGTTACTCGTACTCGAGTCGTAGTGCAGTGACAAGTGACCATCTGGTAACTGCCGGTAGCCAGTTCTGGAAGTGCATGCATGTACATGTAGATCTACAGTCTACAGAGGAGAGCTAGAGGAGTACAGTGCTGGCAACTGAAATCCGACCCACTGGGCGGCGCGGTGCCGGCCAGTGGGTCGGATTTCAGTTGCCAGCACTGTACGAGTCGTACTGCATGTCATGTACAAACTGACTTGAGTTGTGACTCGTAGACCTACTACTAGTACAAGTACTAGCAAGACTCCAAGAGTCCAGACTCTTGACGGCGTCCACCGAGGATCAAGCCCGTCTGGATGTGGCGGCGAGTGGCGTGTGGGGAGGACGGTTTGAACGCGTTTATCTTGAGGTACGGGTGTTTAACCCTTTCGCTCCTTCAAACCGTTCCTCTTCTCTCGCTGCTCGCTACCAGAGCCATGAGCGAGAGAAGCGTCGCAGGTATGGTCAGAGGGTGCAAGAAGTTGAGCGAGCCTCCTTCGTACCTGTCGTATTCTCAGCCACAGGTGGAGCCGGTCGAGCTGCTTCCGCTAGCGCTCTTCTCAAGCGAATTGCTGCTCTGTCTGCAGAGAAATCCGGAGAGCCATACGCAATGGTGATGGCGTTGCTGCGTTGTCGTTTTGGTTTTGGTCTCCTGCGTGCCAGTGTTGCCTGCCTTCGTGGTGCCCGGCGGATGCGCCGCGTCAATGATCAGTCTGCTGTCCTCGCAAACGCGGAGGCTGCATTGATTTAACTTTCTTTGCAACTCCTGCAGTCTAGGTACTGGGTATCATTGTTATCTTGTGTGTGTGTGTGTGTGTGTGTATGCGTGAGTCAACAGCTTTGATAAAGTTATTGTGTTTACCCCTCTTGTTTTCTCATCATTGTGTTGCTTTTAATTTTTAATCTTGCCCGTTAAAGGAGGCTGTTGTAAAAAAAAAAAAAAAAAAAAAAGACTCTTGCTACTAGTACTACCGTACTGGCAATGTTGCCGCGTAACGCGCGCAGGGGGGTTCAACTCGAGTTCAACTCGAGTGACAGGACTGCACCCAAAAAAGGTCAAACAGGCTAGTAAGTTGTACCCTGCAGGCACGGTGACCAGGTGACTGGTGTACGCAGGAGCACGTGACCGCTTGTTCAACCATGTTCGATTGGGAATAAAGGAGGAACGCTGCATCGCAGCCTTTTCGGACCAAAACCAATCGACTCAGCGTCCAAAAGACTACAACATATGGGCCAATCGCGGTCATCCGTGCTTTTATAAGAACGAAATGGCGCTTTTAGTGACATTTTGCATACAAATCCCCATCTAGTAGGGCGCAGTCACCCAGTTTCGGTGGAAGTGCGCGAGTTCGATTGGGAATAAAGGAGGAAGGGAGCGTCTCAGCTTCCTCGGACCAAGACCATTCGACTCAGCACCCCGAAGACTACAACTGGTGAAAATTTGATTTTAGGGTATACTTCCCCTTTAATTAGTCTTTGCATGTAACGCCCTGCGTGCGGTAAGGGGTCGTCGCAAAAGTAACAAGTTTGCTGTCGTCCCTGAAACGAACATCGTTCATTTCGTACTTGGACCCCCTCCCCTCCCTCTGAAACGAACACAGCTTGCTATGCTGGACGACGAAAATCGCAGGCATGTACATGTCATATGTACAGTGTCGGTCGACTTGCGATTTTGGCTCGCACCCCCTCCCCCTAAATGAATCATGTTCGTTTCAGGGACAACAAACTTTTGCGACGACCCCTAAACATGTGCCAATATATGCCAATGGCAATGTGACGCTTCATGGCCTCACTGCGACCATATTGCCAGTACGGTAGTACTACAGCCAGTACACCGGCATGGTAGATCTACACTGTTCTTGCCAGGGAGTAGCCCTTTGTGTACCAGCCCCATCTCGAACCGTACCATATGGTACGGTTCGCTGCACTCCAATCAAGCGCGCCGTTCCCCGCCGCCGTAGCTCCGATCGACCCGCGGTTTTTTGCGCTTGACAGCTGAGATCCCACTGAAAATTTTGATGTATGATATGGGTAGGTTGCCATTTGAAAGTATGGAGAACGAACGCGTTCAAAAGTATGCTTTTCAGCGCAAACAATTGTCGCTGTTTCGATCGTGTTCTCGCTCAGTTTCTCTGCTTGTAGCGAAGATGTAGCTTGTTCTAGGTCATGTCGACGTCTTCTAGACGTGGTGGATGATTGGAGAGATCGGCTGTGGCGATATCATCGCGGAATGCGACTCGAAATTGGAAATTTGTATCGCTGATCCCATCGCAGTATTCGCTCTCAAAACAGGAGCGAGAGGGAGGACAGCGATGGCCTAAAATCGTCAAGGCAGGCGTAATTCACCGGCCAGCGACTGCTTCTTGTCTTCTCTTTCACTTACCTGACGCTGGATGTGAGTAGATGAAGAAAAATATAGATTTCGAATCTGAGACAAGAATTCAAAAATTGCAATTTTGAACCAATTGTTTTACCTCAAATGTGTGAATATATGAGCATTTCCCTGGTATGTTGTTACTCTTCATGCACTGAGACAACGCTTATGAGGTTGTTTTGTCCCTATGTTCCCAGTACACGAGCACAAACTAATTCTCAGTCTATTTGTTTGTGATACCCTGGTTGGTCAGAAATATGCACAATTGGCGCGTATCTTTGGTATTCCACCTATGGCCTTCATATACTACTGCATGCTGTACCAATATCCATGCTTACCTGGGTGCAGTGATACATATGGAGTCAGGAAAACACAACTTGCATATACAAAAGTTGTCTAGATTTCATACCATGGTTGCTTCTTTGGCTGCGATAGCCCCTTACATACATTAGATGGCTGGTACATAAAGGGGTAGTAGACCTACTGACTGTACTACTCCCTGGTTCTTGCAATCATGACCTCGATCGTACATGGCACAGTCACGCTACGTACACCATGTATTGTTACGTAGTGGAACTGGAAACTCGATCGACTCGCTGACCCGTGCATGGGATCAAGCAAAACTTACTTGCAGGTCCGGTGTAGATGTCGACGTGTATTACAAAAGACAAGTGGATCTCGATTCAACGACTCATGCGCGCACCGGAGACAGGCATTTGTCGTTGTTGTCAGTTTCTGTGCGGGCTAGTCAAACTGAACTGAACTGAATTATTTCCAATGTCGAGTAACAAGACAGAGCTGACGTTGCCGACCCTAGCTGGCGTGCGAGAGGCACGAGAACGCAACGCAGGGCATGTCGTGAGGACACCTCTGGTGCGTGTTCCGGCGTGGAGCCGCAGTAGCACTGCCGAGCATGTTGAGAACTTGGCTGCGGACGTTCGGGGCGACGGAAAGCCGCTAGAAATCTATCTGAAGCTAGAGAACCTGCAACATACTGGTTGTTTCAAGGCGCGGGCGGCGTTCAACGCCTTGCTCTCCGCCGACAGTGAAACCTGTCGCAGGCACGGTGTCATAACGGCAAGCACGGGAAATTTTGGACAGGTGGGGTGCTGGCTGCATCATCTTTTGGCCTTTGCTGTCTCTCTGACGTTTGTGTTTTCTGTACACAGTTATTTTAGTATTAGCTGGATAAATTTCGTGTTGAAAAGTTTTTGTGTGTGTGTGTGTGTGCTATAGCGCTAGTACTAGTACTGGAGTCTTGATGTAGAGACTGTGTTTGTTTTGTCGAATCCGGTTCCCAGTTCTATCAAATCACCTCAAAACCAACTGAAATGACTTGTACCGGTATGATTAATTTTCTTCTTTAATACAATACAACGGTTTAACCGTAGCTTGACTCTGCCGTTGCCATGTAAACGAAGTAAGAAAAATGGCGATTGAACTTGAAGAGATAGTAGTCCATTTGCGAATTTAATTGGAACGGGTCCACATAGCTAGCTCACAAGCACACCCTTGCACCATGATCTGCCTATCGTGGAATCAGTTGTGCTCAGGGAGAGTTCATGGACCCGATATACATGTACATGTGGAAGTTTTTGGCAGCATATATCCAAATGAAGGATGCAGGTGATCTTGTCGACCTTGCTCCGGTGAGGTAGGCTGCTCAGAATCTGATGAGATGGATCCGCATCGGACTCTTCAGCCAGCTCAATACGGTGTGGGAATAGCATGCATAGGATGGTTCTGGATCCGGATCTGAACTGTCAGCAAACGATCCCGCTGCCCTACAGTAGAGTCACGCGCTGAAGAACGTGGAGCCCAAGAACGTCCAGCCTGAAATACCAAGAACGCCACAGCCTAAAGTTAAGAACATCGGTGTTGGTTTTCTGCGAGCTTGTTGGGTACATACATGTACGGCTCAGTACGGGGATTGTTTATAAGAACGTGATATGAACGCAGCCAGATTGCTGGAAAAAAAAGAACGTCCCAGGCCAACCAATTGGAAACAACGTTCTTGGGCGCGCGACTCTACTGTAAGCATATCCTGCGTACGAAGTGGATTGGGGGAATGGAGACTTTACTCCGGGGCATATTCATAGTGTAAAGGCCAATTCACAAAACCACTTTTTGCGACGCGACACGCAATTTGCGACAGTTGCGACAAGAGAATGCCTGTCGCGTACACTGAGTCGCAAGGTGCCTGTCGCAGAAGTTGAAGAAAGTTCAATTTTTGCGACGTGCGACGCGCGACATATACGTACTGTAAGACCAGTAATGTTAACGAACATTTAATTCTAACGGTTTAACACATTTAAAAATTCGTCAACATTTGGAGTCGTTACGGAGAAAACGATATGTAAATGACAGTCCTTTGCGGGTTTTGAGACGGAATTCGTTAGAATTTTTCTCTCGCTACCCCACAAAAATCCAGAGATCATTAACATTGACTTTAAAATATATCTGGTAAAATATCTGGTCTTACAGTACAGTGTACTACAGTACAGTGTACTACTGTACAGTGTACTACAGTACAGGAGAATGATGATTATTCGGACGCTAGTTAACTGTCTGAATGATCGATAATCTGGATGACCTTGTCGGGCTGGACAATAACAGATTTAGCAGCTGTTTTGAGTTTTTTTTTTTTGCTGATTTTCCCCACCGGGAGCATGAATGATGTGAAGACATGTATAGCCTGCATGCATTCCACAAGCAATTTTTCAAGCGACGCACAAGACAGGTTGGAGTCGAAATGTATAACGATACTGTCATTTTGAGGAGCTGTCGAGTGTAGTGCGCCTAGTCCTGTTATACTGCCGAAGAGAATAACATAATGAGAATGTACATGTGGGCATACGCATGTTTTAGATAGATGTGTGGCTGATCCCTTATCCGAACATTCTTCTCATCCGAACCTCCTGGAGACAGCCTGCGCCCTGAGTGGTGCGGATAAAAGGTACGCTGCTGTACGGTTTTTTTTTTTTTTTTTTTTTTTTTTCGCTGCTGTACGGTCGGTTGCTGAACAGCTACTGTAAGTCTACAATTTTTCAGCGCATTCAAATTTCGCCCTGTACTATTAGGTAAACCTGTACTATTAGGTAAACCTGTACTATTAGGTAAACCTGTACTTTAGCGCCCCCCACCCCCCAATCATACCCAGCCAGCAAGGTCACAGGTCCTTACGGAGTGTCACCGAATAAGGCAGCCCGACCCACAGGCACAGGTAGGTGCGTAAACGAGACCGTGAGAAACGCATTGCGAAGCAAATCGTTTTATTTTTCTACGCTTCCTAACTTCCAGGATTCGCTCAAGGAGTCGACGGGTTTCGGTGGCGATGTCGGCGAGACAATGTCACGAAGTCTTTGCGGCATGGGTCCTTCTTCCAGAGAAGCCATCTGCCTCTTTTGCTGCTAATGTACTGGTGGGCGCTTGAGACACCGCAGAAAGTGGTACTTTTGCTGCTAATGTACTGGTGGGCGCTTGAGACACCGCAGAAAGTGGTACTTCACGAACTCGATGTTGGCGAGAAAACCCTCATCGATCGGTACAACTTTCTGCGCGATATCTGCGGCGAATTCCTCGACAGTCATCAGATTCAGCTCGGTGGCATCAACGACGACGCTCCCCTGTTATCGTGGAGATCGACGAGTCCAAATACTTCCACAGGAAGTACCACAGGGGACGGTGGCGCGAAGGGCATTGGGTTTTCGGTGCCATTGAGCGCGAATCTGGCCCGTGTCATGGCCTCAGCATTTAGTCTGACTGAGTCTCAGGCAAGCGTAACGAAAATTCTCTCTTTACTCCAATCTTATTCCATGTAGCTTGCGAAAGCTTCTTGACTTGCGTACGAAACAACACAGGTTCATCTTATGATTCAATCGGCCTGTGTTCTTGCATTAGAGGCTTGTAAACTAATGCCGGCAAGCCATACATGTCTTCACAAAATTGATGCCTGATGGTGCGGGCTTGGGCACATACGCCAGATTCTACGGAAGTACAGTGTATGATCGTTGCATTGGATGTGTGTGTATGTGCATGCGCTCCAACGCGTATGTGCATGTGCCGCTGCGAGTGCTGTGCTCATTTCTGTATTTGTGCCTGTACACGAATATGCGTGTGCGTTTGTGCGTGTGTGTGTGTGTGTGTGTATCTGTGTGTGTGTGCGTGCGTGCGTGTGTGCATGCATGCGCTTGTCATGTGCGCGACATGTGCAGGCTCTGGCCTGGTGTGCGCAGCAAGTCGGTATCCCGTGCACTATCGTCGTGTCGAACAGATCGGCCGAGGCGAAGGTCGCCAAGATCCGGCAGCACGGCGCCAGCGTGATACGCGTCACGTACGACCAGTGGTGGGAAATGGTGAGCAATCGCCGCTTCCCGGGACATGAGGAGAAGCTCTTCATGCATCCGTCCTTCGACCTGGCAAACATGGAGGGAAACGGCACCATAGCGCTGGAAATCTTGGAGGACTTGCCCGAAGTGGATGCGGTACTGGCGCCGTTCGGCGGCGGCGGAATATGCACGGCCATCGGTGCCGTCATGAAGGAGCTGCGGCCCGAGTGCAAAGTCTACCCCGTCGAGTTGGAAACTGCGCGACAGGTGCACGCGGCGTACGAGGCGGGACGGCCGGTCGATTGCGACCTGACGCCGTCATTCATTGACTGCATGGGCGGCCGCGCCGTCCTGCCGGAGATCTGGCCTCTAGCCCAGGCCGTTTCCGAGCGGCCGCTCACGGTGTCGCTGAACGATGCGGTGCGGGGCATGCAGACCGTTGCACTAGCCACTAACTCCATTGCTGAGGGTGCTGCTGGGGCCACAGCGGCCGCTGCACTTAAGGGACTGGCCGGTGCTGGCGGCGGAAAGGTCGTCGCCATTGTCAGCGGGGGCAACATCAACCTTGAAGACCTGGCGCTGGCCCTGCATGGACAAGTGCCTCCCGTTCGCACGGCTGAATGTGGTGAGTCTTGAAGCTTGGCCCGACACTCATGCTGGTTCTGTATATGCGCACGCCCGGCGGCGATTGTTACGTTGCCGCCTCACATGCAAGTACAGTTCTCCCGCTAATCTCCACTGAACAGCACACACCCGAGCAGAAGCGGCGGCCGAGCATTTAGTCGGCGCGGTGTGGGATGCGAGGGGATTCCCCTATCAGCGTTCCTGGTAGCGTCCCAGCGAACTCGCCCATGGTTACGGCAGTCTGCTGTACATGGGCCTACACTCCGTCTACAAGTTGTTTCTGGCATGGGATGTGTTTTTCAGTTTTTCAGCATATACTTTGCACGCTGCAGTTACGCTCGGTGAAATTCTCTTCGATTGTTAAAGGATTGCTTTCAAGTTTGTTAAAGGGGAAGTCCGGTGAAAAATTTAAATTTCACAGTCCGTAGAGTTCGGGTCGCTGAGTCGAATGGTCTTTGTCCGAGGAGGCTGCGGCTTATGGTTCGTCAGATACGCCCAATCGAACATGTGCGAATTTGAGCGCGCATCACCCAGATCCAGGTGATGACGTCACAGCGTGCAGCCAGGTAGCCACACCATCTAGTTGTGTACAAAAATGGCCATATTCGGAGCGCGTTCGATTGGGGAACCGTTTGTCGCAGCTTCTTCGGACCAAGACCATTCGATTCAGTGTTACAAACACTACGTACCCTGTGATTTTAAACTCGGTAAACTTGGAGGTTATACCGTATTTTAGCCGTTTCCGAGTTAGACTTTTCCGTCAGCCCGTCTACATGGTCTACGCGCTCACGCAGCGCAGAGCGTGCAATGTTTTATCTAGCTGTAGTGCAGTCAACAAACTCATGTCACAACTGACACAAGACTCAGAAAACTAGTCAACACACAGATTTGTCATGTACTACCGGTAGTACTACACTCGTATCAGTCGTACAGTGACTCATGTAGTCAGAGAACGTGCGTTTCTCCTTGCCGGTGCCGGCCGGTGGTTGTGCTTTGAGAAAGAAAATTTTAGTTTTCCGCACCCGCCTCATTATTTTATGCTACAGCGATGAGTGCACAACCGTGACAAGTGACAATACAGCAAACAGCTCCCGGACCTAGAACTTTCAGATTCCATAGCGTTGCGAGCGAAGAGTCGTGCCCGTGGTTCAAAGAGCCTGCACTGTTCTCCAATTGAGTAGTTCGAAATATTCCAAGTTCGCACCAAAACATCACCATGTGGCAGGCTACTGGAGTCTAAGGCAATCTAATCGGTATGGAACAACATTAATTAGAGCACTCGCATCACTCTTCTCCATTTTGGTGACCCTGCTCTCCAGCGATCTGATAATTACATCAGCCTCGTCTGCAATAGCTGCTGCTTCTTCATCAGTCGGAAACTCAGTAGCGCTCACTCTTGACCGGCCCGCGCGGCCATTTCTTCAGCTGAATACCGAGGTTCTCAGCCCCAGACCGAACTCATGAAGGTCAGCCATGGCTGCATCCTCACTCTCACAAAGAGTTATAGGTCTTCGGGGTCGCTTGCACAACCTAATAATAATAATATCAGTCGCCAAATCATTTGAAATAGCTCTGACACTATTGCTTTCACGCACTCCTTTTGACCTAGCTGCACGCTATGACGTTGCAGAGGGTGTGGCGCGGCCGCATGACGTCATGGCGCAGCCCCCCGAAACTCAGTTTTTCAAACGGAAATATCTCGAGAACGCTTTGTCGGAGACGCGTGGGACCAACACCATTCGACTCAGCGCCCGAAACTCTACCGACCCTGAAATTTAAATTACACCTGAAACCTGGCAGGTCCCTGCCACAGAAATTTTACTACACCTAAAATTACAAAGAAATTGGTTGTGAGCAACACTGGCTCACACTCAAATCACTGCTTTTCACCAGAAACATATTTTATTTCAACGTTTCGGTCATGAAATAACTATCATCAGCCTTCCTGATGATGGTTATTTCATGACCCGGTCATGAAATAACCATCATCAGGAAGGCTGATGACAGTTATTTCGGAAACGTTGAAATAAAATATTTTTCTGGTGAAAAGCAGTGATTTGAGTGTGAGCCAGTGCTGCTCACAACCAATTTTTTACTTATGAAGCTGCGTGATGCGTCCTACAAGATTTTAACCCATTGAACGCTGATGACGTCTATAGACGTCATTGAAAATGCCCCCCAAGGGCTTAAATCTAAAATTACATGTTATACTTATACAGTATTCAAATACTAGTATTGGTGCAGCATGCGTATTCAGGCTATGTGATTACGTCATCATTACAATACCTTGTATGGAATTGTAAATTGTACATGTACTTGTAGGGCGACAGAGAGAGACAGAGAGAGAGAGAGAGAGAGAGAGAGAGAGAGAGAGAGAGAGAGAGAGAGAGAGAGAGAGAGAGAGAGAGAGAGAGAGAGAGAGAGAGAGAGAGAGAGAGAGAGAGAGAGAGAGAGAGAGAGAGAGAGAGAGAGAGAGAGAGAGAGAGAGAGAGAGAGAGAGAGAGAGAGAGAGAGAGAGAGAGAGAGAGAGAGAGAGAGAGAGAGAGAGAGAGAGAGAGAGAGAGAGAGAGAGAGAGAGAGAGAGAGAGAGAGAGAAGTATGCTGATGTCATTATTTGAGATGCTTTGCATGGAGGTTGTAGTGGCGAAACTGTGGCACCACGCTGCATGGCCTGCCCCTACCCGAACCGTGCGACGCGACTTGGCAAGCAAGCTAGGACTGATTCAGTGACTGCACTGGCTAGCCACTCAGTAGGCGCGTACAGTCAACTATGCGCATTCTCCGCCAAGCGCTAGCGGAAGTACAGTGCCCTCGGAGCCCAACCCTGGAAAACGATAGAGAGATCAGCAACGCTACACGAATAATTATGAGAATGGAAAGTTAGTTAGCAGCTAGACTGACGAAAATACAGTAAAACCTGTCAAGTCGACCACGTGCCCTAGAAGACCACTGAAACCAGGACCTAAGCCTCATTTACACGACAACGATTGAAAAACGTTTTTCAATCGGTTTCGAAGCGTTTTTGCTGGTTACACGAAAACGAGAAGCGTGTACACTGCAACGCGTTTTCCAGCGCGCAATGGTCACGTGCAATAAGTTGGCCTGGCGCAGGCTGGTGGCGGCATGTTTTGAGTACAAGGCTCGCAGTAACTTAGTAAAACGTTTTTACACGAGAACGAACCGGAACAAAAACGATTGAAAAACACTTTGAAGGCCGTTTTTCGTTTGAAACGTTTTTGAAACGTTTTTCAGCGTTGTCGTGTAAACGCTCTTATCAAAATCTGTGGAAGGGTGTTCTTTTGAAAACGTTTTTCAATCGTTGTCGTGTAAACGAGGCCTCAGGATGCTATTTGCAGTGAATTTACCCTGGAAAAGGAGACCACCTGGTAATAGAGACCACATTTTGAAGGTCCCTTGAGCTGTCGTCTTAGACAGGTTTGACTGTAACACTAGGAATAGCACAACTAACTGGGAAGGAATAGGGGTATTTGATGTGCCCTGTATTGGGGTATTTGATGTGCCCTGGATTGGGGTATTTGATGTGCACTGGATTGGGGTATTTGATGTGCACTGGATTGGGGTATTTGATGTGCCCAGGATTGGGGTATTTGATGTGCACTGGATTGGGGTATTTGATGTGCCCTGGATTGGGGTATTTGATGTGCACTGGATTGGGGTATTTGATGTGCACTGGATTGGGGTATTTGATGTGCCCTGGATTGGGGTTTTTGATGTGCCCTGGATTGTGGTATTTGATGTGCCCTGGATTGTGGTATTTGATGTGCCCTGGATTGTGGTATTTGATGTGCCCTGGATTGGGGCATTTGATGTGCCCTGGATTGGGGCATGTGACGTGAATTTGCTCTACAAGTGTTACGTACGACCACTGTTAGAATACGCAGTCCCTGTCTGGTCATTCGCCGTATCCCATTCAGATTCGCTTACGTTAGACCAACTGCAAGCCGTTGCTGCTCGTTCATATCTGCTTTGTAAGACCCGGCACCCTCCTGAGTGGGAAACCCCGAAGCAGATTCTTAATCGTACTTGTGACTGGTCATCCCTGAAGTGGCGTCGTCAGATTCTGTCCTTGCTGTATTTTCATCATGTCTTTTACCAGTTTTCGTCTTTGCTAATTCGTTTCAAATTCAATGTATCCCTTAGTTGTCGTCACCCGTCCTCTATAGTTTTGCCTCGTTCTGGCGCCCATTTCCTTAAATCCCCTCTCTTCAGTTTATCTGTGGAATGGAACAAACTTCCAGAACACATCCGCTGCGTTCAGTCCTCTGTCAATTTTCGCATTGCTCTAAAGGCTCATTACTCTCAGCATAGATATTCTCTGACTGGAATTCCGAACTTTTCCGTTTGAGAATTTTTTTCCTTGAAATTAATCCTTGCTGGGTTTTTTTCATCTAAATGTCCCGCTATTATCTGCAGAGGTGATTTCTTCCCTCGTCGATTTCTTTCCTGCTTTTATACCTCGATATTTAGGTACTTGTTTCCCTTCTTCCCATGCTTCATCTTCCACTCTCCTCTCCCCCATTTCCCCATTTTTCTTGCGATATTTATGTGGGAGACTTCCGTGATAAGCATCCATTTGCTTTTGGAGAATCCTTTTAAATAAATACAATACAATACAATACAATACAATGTGCCCTGGATTGGGGTATTTAATGTGCCCTGGATTGGGGCATTTGATGTGCCCTGGATTGGGGCATTTGATGTGCCCTGGATTGGGGTATTTGATGTGCACTGGATTGGGGTAGCAGTAGTAGTAGTATTTATTTTATTATTTTACCATCGGATGCCTCAACAGTGATACACACAACTCTTAAGAGGGCCGATAACGGGGTAAGTAGAAAGGAAAAGAAAAGAAAAAAATAGAAAGAATTGGAATCCAGACATCAAGCAGTACAGTAATCAAACACCAAGTCAACTTCAAGCTTAGTACAAGAACTATCAAGATCATCGAGAAACTCAACAGATTCCAAAAAGAAGGTCAAAATACTTCTTGAACGCCACTGGGTCTTTAAAAAGATCCCTGAGATGGTTTGCAAATGTAGAGGTACGGTGGTGTCAGCGCCACTCGGCAGGCAGGGTATTAAAGAAAATTGCGGCACGATTAGAAAAAGAATTTACTCCATCAGTTGTCCGGTGCTTAGATATGGCAATGGAAGCATTAGAGTGGCTTCTAGTTCTAAGGCCTGTTGCGACCGGTGGAAATAATTCCGTTAGGGTAGGCAGTGAGATGATGACATGATTTCTATGAATAAACTGGGCAAAGTTGAGAATCATATAGTGTTCAAATGGATAAATCGCCAATGTGGTCAATAATGGCATGATGTAGTCCTGTGATATAGCAACACAGGCAGCTCGCACAGCACGGCGGAACACAGTAGAGAGCCTTTGGCGGTCC